ATTATTTTTCAAGAATAATTAAATAGATTCAACATCTTTCTTCAACAGAACTGCAGACTGCACAGATGGTACCTTCCCAAAGGAAAAAGTACTATAGCTTGCTAGAGTATATTAGACTTAATTGTCACGGTCCTAGGTCTCCTGACCCAGCGTTTTTAGTTCTTTGTGATGTTTGTATTATTGTACTTGTGTGAGTTATTCTATGGTTTCTAGTTTCGATCCCTTGCCCTTCATGTTTCTCTGTGTCCCCTCTGTTCTGTGTAAGTCTGTGTCTGCATGTTTGAGTTCCCCTCTGTGTCTTTCGGTTCAGTCCTCTGCGTTACGGTTTATGTCTCTGTGTTTCTTAGTTGCTGTCTCCACTGTGTCAAGTTCATGTCTCTGTGTGATCCTTCCTGTTTTACTTTGAAGGTCCGTGTCTTATGTGAATGTGTCCTGCTTTGCTTGTCGCGTCGTCCCTCATGCTGTGTGGATCTCCCTGTGTCTCTCTGTGGGTTTAGTTTGTGAGTTTCCAGTTTAGTTTGCTTTGTATGACTTTCTCCTGCCAGCGAATAAAGCTGAGTTCTTTGTGTTTAAACTTCGTGCCTGAGTGCCTGCCTTTTGGGTCCAACTCCTGCCTGCCGCACAGCGATTCATGACATTAATAGTTACTATATACAGTAATGAACTTCTATTCATTTTACATCAGATTAAAACTTTGGGTGTAAGATTCAGATAATTATTTAATAAAAGCTAGACATTTTAAATGAGAATAAGAAAGAAAAGTATGTCTTTGTGCCCCCTTCTCCCTGTTCATGCCCTATCGGCCCCCCTGGCTAAACTTTGCTAGATCCGCCCCTGCACAGTTACCAGCTGTCAGCTAAGTAGTAAAGGATCCTGGTCTAGAAAGTAATATTAAATAAATTCTAACAACAGATTATCAAGCTTAAACGTGCTCAGCCGCTGGTTTCCTCTTTCTGGTGCAAAGTGGGAGATAAATAAACAAGAGAGACGGACTCGCAACAGAAAAGCCGATCAGCTGATCACTGATCAGTTTCATAATTGAAGTAGCAGCAGGAGAGGGAGGGGGAGAGAAGAGGCAGTCGCTCCATATATAGGTTGTTAAGCTTAACACGGGAATGCTTTACAAACATTCAGAGATGAACTTACACACTTGCTTTACTTCTCTCCTCTCTGGGATCACTTCCTCAGAGATGAAATGCCGGATTGGTAGCAAGGCACACAGCCGCTCTATCCCGTGAGCACACTGCTCCGACGTGCTACGGTTAGGAGGAGAGTTACACCGTGTCGAAAGTTCTGTGAGGTGCTTTTTTGATATTTAATGGATCAGATTACATTTTTTATTTTTCTCCGATATCCGATCCAGTAATTTACGTCAGTATCGGACCGATACGATACGTAATATTGGATCGGTCCATCTCTAGTCATTGCGTGTATGTTTTATTGTGAAGGTCTGCGTCTTATGTGAGTGTTTTCAGTTTGCCTCCCTGCTCTCGTCATGTTAATCACTCCCAGCTGTGTCCCCCACCTGTGTGTAATCTCCCTGTGTTTCTCTGAGTGTATTTAAGTCGTTTCTTCTGTCTTAGTAGTCACTGGTTCGTCTGTGTTGTTCTCCTCCATCTTCCTGCGTATCTCCCTCCGTTGTCTCTCCGTGTCTCCCTACATCTCTGGGTTTGGTTTTAGGTTTGTTTTGTTAGTTGTTCCAGTTTAAGTTTATTCTTGCCTCGCCGTTTCTGTTTGTTTTTCATCCTCCTTACTAAATAAAGTTCACTCTCATCACAAGCTGCATCTTCGGTCCTAATCTACAACTCCACACGTCTGCCACGTCGGACGTAACATAAGTAATTTAATGACACTTTGCAAAGCCATCCAGCGGCTGAATTGGACACGTTAACAGGTTGGTTGTGGACCAACTGTCTGTGTCTCCTTGACACTTCTGATCTAAAATGTGAAATGTCTGCACCCAACTTAATAATAAAAAACAATAACAAATAAACAAATTAAAAAAGCACTCATCTGTGAAAAAATACTTTAAATTTGAACTCGTATCATAAAACATCCAAAAACAAAATTGGTTTTTAGACCACTTGCTCTATGTTTTAATATGTAGGGACTCACAGTGTCTACAGGAAACCATTTTTATATTATCCATGGAAATTACAAAGGTCAAATTGTTTCCTGCATGTCTCCCATTGGTTACCCTTGAGCATGAATGTGAGGCTGAAAATGCTTTAAACAATTAATTTCAATCCTTACAGCCTACTCAACTTCCCATAACAAAATTTAAAGAGACTCTGTAGAGAAAATACAAAAAATGAAAACGGAAGAAAAGGAACAGATGTTCCTGCCATTTGCCAACCTCACAGGATGATAGTAAAAATAAATAAATAAAATGAAATAAGAGATGGATGGATAGACAGCACAGTCTTGTGCATGTACTTTTAGTTTGTAATTACAATGTGAAATATTGCCTTTCTCTCTAATGAGAACATTAAAAAACCTTTTCTTTTACAATGCTGGGAGCCAGCAATGATCTTTTTAGCTGGAAGACTAATCATCTCTATGTGATTAGGAGCTGAAGGTTAATGTGGGCTCTCACAGATGGGAGACGGAGTGAGGTGGGAGTGAGGGAGATCAGACCAGACAACGTTCTAGAAAGGCACAGACTGGTGGTACTGCAGAGGCACAGGGGGGCTATAAGTGGTTAAGAGTCTGTGGATCAAGGGGAGGAGAGGCCTGAGCCTCATTACACATGTAAATGCAGCTTCCAGCATGGAGGCCCCACTTTAAAGCCTTGCTGTTTTAATTATTCCTTTGCTCTGCACACGATAATTGGCTCTAACTCAGCTCAGGGCCTGTTGGCTATGTAAGGTGAATATAACACCCTAATGACTTTGTCCATTTTTAATGGTGATCAGTGGAAAGACCTGGCCTTCTATTGGATTGGAAATAGCCACATCAGTGCCTTTGTCTTGATTTTCGCACAGACTCCCACTGTTTGATTGTTGGGTATTAATGTTTTATCGCAGAGCTTATATGTTTTCCATTTAGAAAATTAATTAATGAATGAATGGTTGAACTGACTGAAATTCTTTGAATTAAATTTTATTTAAACAGTGCACTATTTGCCGTTTTAGCCCTGATTGGATTATAAGATGCAATTAAATCGAATATCAGAAACCACTTTCTTTCCCACAATGAAACAACTTTCAACAGACAGATCACGTCTTAATTAAAAAAGAAAAAAAGAAACACCTGAAAAAGGCACAAGTGAAGCATATCAGAATTAGGGGCAAACATTAAAGGTAGAATTAAAATTCTATCAAGGTTTTGTCATGAAGGAAAGACGTCTCTCTCATGAAGAGCCTGTTAAGTGACATTTTAAAGAAAAGACTTCTTGACAGGCAGAACAATATGACTGAATCAATCCAATCAAATAAATTTCTGGGATAGATATCCAGTATCAAAATCTGTAATTATTTTATAATAATGTTTTAATTTATAGCAAATAAAATAACTAAATAAATACTTTGGAAAGCAATTAACTTTCTGACACAGGACTCGTGGGGGAATTTGTGCCTTTGCCCTAGAGCTGAGTCTAAAGTTGCCTTTGGTGTTAAGTGTCAAACAGATCATAGCGTGGAGCTGTGCAAAAATATGGAAATAATCAGGAATTACAAGACAATAAATAGAATAAATAGGCTGGTTTGTAATCTAGGTACAAAAACATTTTAATGCACACACACACACACACACACACACACACACACACACACACACACACACACACACACACACACACACAGAGCAGGAATGCATCTCACATAGACTTTGAGATGCATTCCTGCTAAGACCACGAGGGCTGTTCCACTTTCAAGTGCACGAGGGCAGTTTTTTTTTAAACAATTTAATCACACTTTTGATAAGTCCAGTTTCTTCGGACTTTACCTCAGAGACTTACTCCCTGTTCTTCATATTGCCCACTGCACCACAGGGCTATCAGTAGAAAAGTGAGGGGAATAATACTAAGCAAAAACAATACTAAACAAAAAAATACAGAAGTCTCTACCAAATGATACATTACATGGAATCAGAGGAATGCAAAAACCCTTGTTCATTTATCAAACATTTGTTTGAATATTTGTGTAATGTTTCCATTTTGGTGACCATATTTCATTCTAACTGCCGCTTCCAAAGACACTGTATACTCTTCATACATAATATTCAATATTGTGAATCATTACAATATATCCAAAATGGATGTTTCACATCCATGATCCTTTTTGCTGCATGTGTCCCCTGACATCATTTATGATGTAAACCAAAATATGAAATAGAAAAAGCTTCTAATTTACAAATATGCCAGGAAGCAAGCTGATATTTGTAACTAAGTAATTTAGTCTAAATCAAACAAAACCACAGAATTAAATATGCTGGTATCATAATCAAATCTTCATAGATTTTGAGCCAAACACTTCTTCTGTCTAAAAATACTTGTCTTTGGTTACTTAGTGGAGTGAATGAGGACTAATAACTAAACACAACCCCCTCTAAAAGTAAAATAAATTAAAAACAGAAATCTCATGTATTTTTGGGTGTAACAACGAACCTAATTTCTCATTCAGTATTGTGGTCATTCATGTCAAAAATGACTGTCAAAAGTGCCTTAAGTAGGTTGTGTGCTGTTTTGCAGTAATATTGATGTTTCAGATTAAAGAAACACAGATAATATTACTTTGTGGCAATTTTGTTTCTATTCGGATGTTAATAAAATATGTGTGTGCTGTGGCACAGTGTTTTGGTACAGAGTTTTCAAAGGTCCTCACCTTTAACTTGTTATAGTGAAATCTACTTGACTGGCACTCTTTAGCTTCTTGCTCAACAAAGCAAAGCAATAGTATTTTTTAAAGGATTTTTTTTACATCAAAAATACAAAGATTACATTTCTGAGATCACAGTCTAAATGAAATTATTTGAGTCTGTGTTTTATGAAGAAAACATACCTGACCTGGCTTGGCATCTTCGCATATTGAGGCTTCATATGGTGTGGCCAGTTCAGGTGGATTGTCATTCACATCAAGTATCCGAATGCTCACTGATGTTTGGGATGCCATTGTGCGGTTATCTACAAAAGAATGATACAGAAAATAAAAGTTGTGTAAAGAGCTGTGGCAGAAATGTGCATTTGCATTATATTATCTCACTATAACTATAGTGTTTGGGGGAAGCCGACAACTGGCAGTGAAACAACAGGTTCTTAGACTGCTCCGACTGTATTTGTCTTTTTTTCCCCACAGGCATTTTTCTTTGCTTTATTTACCACATGAAAGAGATGAGGTAAAGTTTTAGTTTAACCAGAATATTCATAACGGCCCGGGTTTGCACACATGTAACTGAAACCTAAAATTCAGCCTTATGTGTAACTACAGGGAATTTGTGTTGTGCCAATATGCTACTAAACACATAGCAGTGTGTAGTATTCGGTGCTCCCTTCTGGATATTGACAGAGGACTGCAGCTGCTGCTAAAAATCCTGCCAATGTGCTGATTTTTCTATAAGAGAGTGGTGTTGATTTCCAAGAATCCATAGACAAAACACTTAATGCACCCTTGTTAGCCTTTAGCAGACAAGACAAAGACACATCTCCCAGTAGTAACCAGAAAGTAGTTTAGTAGCTATGTGCTGAAGGGTTTTGTTAACTTAAAATACATCCACTACCTGAAAAAACACTTTTGTAATCCAGTGAGTGACATAAAAATGGCACCAAAGATGCTAGTTTTGTCTCCAGGTACTCACTATCTGATAATGAAGTGAAAGAGACACACCTCAGCAAATGAGAACTACATGCTTGTGACAAAATTGCAAATGTAGTACTATCATTTTCTTTCGTAAGCCAGTGTCAGCTAGATACATCCAGATATATAACACCACAACACACTCTCAAGACATTTTTCTTAATGGGCAAAAATATAAATGTGGGAGTTGAGAAGATTATATAATTAGTACAATCAAAACCCACTTCAAATTAGCTTGACTTCTCCTTGAATCTTAATTCCCATTCTTAATCATATGATAATGTCTGATGGAGTTTCCATTTTCTCATAAAACACTGTTTGCAGTACAGAAGGGAGCCTTAGGCCTCCCGTGTGCATGTGTGTGTGTGTGTGTGTGTGTGTGTGTGTGTGTGTGTGTGTGTGTGT